GAAAATATACGTACATGCAGAAACAATCAACTCACTGTACAAAAACATAATTTCACCACGTTTAATAGCATCCGGCGCCATCTAAGCCACAGGCCCAGTTTTTGTAATTTTATTTGAAGCTATACAAAAGCCATTTCAACACACCGAATGACAACTTCTAACAGTCGTCGAGTGGGACTGTCCTCCCCTGGTGGTCGTTCAGAAGCTGACATTTATTTTGCAAATGTGTGATTTTATACGAAAGGTTAGCTGCGCGTTTTTCACTGAGTTTGTAACTGTGAGCTTGCGCGTTGGTTCTTTCCTGTATTCGCTTTGCTTTGTCAGATGTTATTTATTCCGCTTCTATCTGAAATAAAGTTTATTTGCGAGTCAGCACTGCAGTTTGTCTTTCTTTCCTGTGCCTGTTTTCTTTTTGTTGTCGCTGTTATATTTGTTTAGGACGGAAATGGCCCAAATCGCCAAATTGTCCCTTCTGTTGAGACATATATATATATATATATATATATATATATATATATATCTATATATATATATATATATATATATATATATATATATATTATATATATATATATATATATGGTAATTTATTGTTGGTAATAGTGGTAATTTTTTCATCCACTTTTCTTTCTTATTTATATTCCATTGATTTAATAACTTCCCCTGTACATTCCTTGGCATTACTGTCTGTTATATCTCATTAATACTGTGTTAAAAACACGGAAAAACGAGCCCTTAGGTATACACTTCTTTCCCTTATATATATATATATATATATATATATATATATATATATATATATATATATATATATAGGTGCCATGCCAAGTGTACCAGACACGGCGGTCGACCATCGCCGATTCGTGACGATCAAATTTACACCCTTTCTTTTCCGTATACCCCATGGAGTATTGCGGTCAAACATTGTTGCTCAAAAATTTTTCTCAAAACCGGGGCGCTCCTTCCAAGTTCGCTTGCGTTTGCCAAAATGTGCCCAGTGAAAAAAATGATATAAACTCTATAATTTGTGAAATTTCGAAACAGTGCTTGAGCTACTAAAGGTTTTTATTGTTGTGCTACTGAAGCATTATGAAATTTTTGCGTTGAGCTAGCAGTTAGGCCTTTTCTAAATCCATAAAAATCATAAATTTTGCCAATTTTATTATGTTAGCTGGAACTCTCTCCTAACAATCCTAATACTATTATGATTTTAGGAAAGATTACTATTTTACAAAAATATTTTGGGGCAAAGTAGACCCTGAATATTTTCGGAACAGTTTTTAAAAAGGCAGAAATATGCGATTTCCCCATATATGAGCGATTTTTTTTGTACTGATACGAATAAAGGAAAAATTTTAGCGACGCGGCGTTTGAATAACCACTTTATGTTCAAGTAATGGAGAAAGTATAATCAATTTATTTTGTGTTTTAAGAAAAAAACAATTTTTGGAGTTGGCTTTCAGAATGCTTTTTGCGTTCTTTTGTTGCCACTGCACCACAAAGCACGTGGTCACCCTTTCGGTCAACACTAATCACAGGAAGCGACAAGGTGTGAGAAGTATGTAAGTGGCTTATGAATGGTCAAAAGTCTTGTTGTTTTGATGTCAAGGCCATGAGCCTTCAGCCGCATTACAATGTGAGCTCGCTTGGCGTGCCCATTGCGAAGTATTGAAGCAGAACAGCAGGTAGTATTATCATTGGCACATTGTGGTACAGGGCTATCTGCACTACTAGATCCAGAGACAGAGACAAATAAAGCAGATTGTGTACACTTTCACTTACGTACAGTGGTTGTGCAGACTGCCGAGTAGCACAATGTGCCGCTTAAGCATAACAACCAAGAGTGAAAACCAGCGCGCATTCTCTGGCATATTCTTTAACTGCGCCGTCGATGCTAGTAAGTGTCATCCTACATTCCTTCTCACCATCGCTCACAGACGGCGGCACTATTGCGATTGCTGACAGAAAGCACCGTGTGAGTGAACTATCGCATTGTGCACAGTGTACAGTGTAAAGAAAACACTGTGCTAAACAGTTCTAACTGTTAGCTTTCACGTACATCACCATGCGTCGCAGAGTGAAAGGTTGGCATACTCCATGGTCTTGTCCGAATATGTTGTCGTGCCTTTTTTCCTTACTGTCGTTGTGCGCTTCTTCACTTTTTAGGCGTTTGTGGTGTCCCCACTCTCTCATGTTCATGCTTGCACACCCTGTATTTCTCAGAACAACATTTGGTCATTACTACGAAGTGCTTTCCCACTTTGTTATCGCACAAAGCAATCACATCATGTTACGAAATAAAGTACTGCTTGGTGCTTTATATAAACCTCAAACGGTTCCTAATGGACATCTATTTTGAAGGTGAACGGTGGCTATTGAGCCATTTGTCACATTTTCTTTCAAATTCGAATTTATTTTTTGGTCGGACTATGTCAGGCGTCCGTCGGGATCCGTCCACAGCCCTCTTCCAAGGCAACAGCTTCGGGCACGCACGTTTTTAGCAGCCGGAGCTCCCACCATGTCACGCTTCCACGTTGGCAGCTGTCGGCAACAGATGCGTGCGCGCGCGAGCTTATCCTCGCCCCTAACAATTTGGAGCTCCCACCTCCTTGGCTTGAACGTGACTTGCCATTTCCTCAATGTCGTGCGTTCGAAACGCGTTTGTAGCATTTGTGCTGCCAGTTTGTGTAGCGTCCTAGAGGCGAGGCTCCTTAAGCCGTCGGTCATTCGTCCGCGATGTACGTAGTAGTAGTCATCATCGTCGTAGTAGTAGCCACCTCCACAGCCTGACTAGAGTAGCGACACGTGTGCACTGACTGGAATTGAGGAGGAAACCCATGCTCAATAATTATAAATAGAAGGATAGCTGTTTTTCATAACTAACCCCCAGAGACGAGTATCGGTTACTTAATCTGCAATAAAATTTGCACTGAATTTGATGCTTAAAAAACTAGTATCAGAAGGACGATCTTTGAGCACTATCTGGTTGCCACGTTCAACATGCTGGGCGTAACCTCTTTGGTTTTAGCAAAGTAGAAGGAGTATTGGGCCGCAGTTATGAACAAGAGGAGGTGAAAGGTGGGAACTAGACAAGGAGCGCAGGCCGTGAGAAAGGGCGCGCGTGCTGCTCCTCCGGCCACGCCACCTCTCATTTTGTCCTTGGAATGTCTCTGCTGGACGGCGCTACTTCTGTATGATGAGTATATGAAGAAAAGATGCGAGAAAGTGGTGCTTGAAGTGTTCACTATACGAACAGACGAATGTACGGACGCACGGATAGAGAGACAGACTGATGCATGGACAGATGCACGAAATGATGAACGGACGGACAGATGGACGCGTGAACAGATGGATAGACACTTGGACGAACGGATAAACACACACATGGATGGATGCATGGACTGACGCACGAACGGACGGATGGATAGACGCATGGACGGAAGCAAAAACGAACAGCTAGACGGCCACGAAAACGGACTGACATATGGTTCGCCCCACTCATCATTACGCATTCCGTAGATATTCTGTTATTTTTTTAACCGCACACGCTAGAGCTGGAAACGCATACCACGTTTATCGTGACAGAAAAGCGCCACGTGTGGAGAACGGCGCTAGTGGCTGCACGGTGCAAGAAAAAAAGAAAACATTATTCTTCTAATGCTGGGTTCTCATGTGCGAAACGCCATTATGGACGGCACGCAATGCATTAGCATTTCCTCACGGTTCCCTTTGGGGAGGTGGAGCCATTTTCGTAAACCTTGGCACAAGATATTTGAGCCCCATAGAACAATGTGCTAGCAAGTTAGGTGAAGAAAAGTGAATACAACCTTCACAACAGGTATTCATGTGCTTAGTTCTCGTTAGTTTATTATTAAAATGGGCGATAACTTGAGTACCGTGGCTTCGTTTCCGTACAGTCACCATTTATACAAATTTTCTGTAAAAAAAGAAAGTTACGTGAAACAATACTTGAATTTATAGACGTATTTGATTTATCAGCGCGCAAATTTAGACAACCATGTTAACAATGAGATATCATCATCATTATCTTGTCTTTTCTTCAGTACGGCATCTCACAATATCCTCATATTTACACTAACTTGGCGCTAGTTGAGTCCAGTTCTTTCTTTGCGACTTCAGTTTAATCACTTTCACTAGCATTCTGACATCTTATGCTATGCCTTCTCCGGTATCTTGATAATCATCTCGTTTGTTTCACAGTCAAGCTTTACTTCTGCAGCAGCTTTTGCAGTCACGCTTTCAAGTCTTAAATATCTCGCTAAACTGAACTACATTGCAACTTTGATAGCTGCTCAAATAGAGAAACAATATCCTGTAATGTCATCTTTCAACGCTTACAGCTGAGCTGTGTTGATGAGCAAAGTAATTACTCTATGCATAATAAATTTTACCAGTGCAGTATCACATAAACGGGTAAGTGCACAACAGTCTTACAAAAATAGTAGTTATAAGTTAGTAAATACGAGTGTTAACTTATTTTCGGTTACAAGCATCGCGGCATATCTTTACTAGCGAGCAGCTTGTACAGCTTGTAACTTGATGTGTTACTAACTAGGAGAGCTTAGCACTTTAAACTAAGTAACTACAAAGCTATCTATATTGCTAGTTCTTCCGCAGTACATTTTCCCGCGATGGTGACATCGCAATCAAAATTAAAGCAAGCTTCAATTTTGGAATAGAAGTTTAGTGCTTTGTAATGACAGACATATAAGCAAATAGAAGGGCACATGGTGGCGTGTATAAAACAACAATTATCATATAAATGGTATGTTTGCTAACCAGCACACGGTGTGGATGCCAAGGTGGGGTATATATAGCTTTCAAGCTGCTGCAACAGCAGAAATCTGCCATGTCACAATCTTCAACATTATCGGGTGACTTTGCGTGCGTGTTCTCGCTTGTTATACAATCATATGAGTTCTCATACTCTTGATCATACGCTCATATGATCATATGATATGCTCATCTGATGATGAACTTCATATGATGATGAGCATCACCTGTGAATATGAGGTGATCATATAAATGAGATCACCTCTCTATAAAGTTGCTGTGGTGTGCACAAGCCACAGTAAAGTTACATGAGGTAGAAGCAGCCAATAATTAATGTACGAGGACAATGTCACTTCTTTATTAGGGGCGAAGCTCCTTATAACGGCACCTGTTCGTGCCTCGTAACCATTGTAGTGTGTAACAAGTATAACATTTTGACCTTCAAGATGGTGCCGGTTAGAGATTTTTCTGTGCGTTGTTGAACAATAAGAAAAAGTGCTCAATGTACATGCCAGTAGCTGCTCATGGGGAATGAGAAACAGGAGCAATCGGCTTTTAGTTAATGCGCACGCTGCGATCCCCATTAGCAGCCATTGCCATGTATATTGAGCACTATCTGACAAAAAAAAAAAAGGGTTGCTGCGTTATGCTCACTGGGTGTAACCTCCTTAGTTTTAGAAAGGTTTAGCGAGCGTTGAGCCGCAGTGCCATGAATACAATGAAGTAGTATATACCATGAACTCGAGGTGGTTAAAGGTGGGAAGTAGATACGAAGCGCCAGCCGTAATAAAGTAAAAGCCGCATTCTCCTGTCTTTCATTTCCCATTAGCAGCCATTGGCATTTACATTAAGCACTTTCTGACAGGAAAAGGCTGCTACGTTATACTTGCTGGGCGTAACCTCGTTGGTTTTAGAAAGCTTTAGCGAGCGTTGGGCCGCAGTTCCATGAATAGAGTGAACTAGTATATACCATGAACTCGAGGTGGTTAAAGGTGGAAAGTAAACCCGAAGCGCAAGCCGTAAGAAAGTGTGCATGTGCCACCTCCTGTTCAGTCTTTGAAATGTCCGCTGGATGGCGGTGCTTCTACATGGGGAATATATGATGAAAAGATGCGAGATGGTGGTACTTGGAGTGTTGAATAGATGGACGAACGGACACACAGACAGATGCATATTTGGACGCATGAACGGACGCAGGGGTGGATGCATGGACGAATGCAGGGACGGACACATGAAGAGATGCACGCACGGAAGGGCGGATGGACGCATGGATGGTCACACAGATGGACGCATGGACGTATGGAAGCAAGAACGAATGGACGGACCAATGCTTCACCCCACTCTCCATCATTCACTCCGTGGATATGCTGCCAATTTTTTATTCCATATTTTTGTAATAGAATCATCTCGACAAGGAGCGCACGCACACGTATACCAAATAGGCATAAACCTTTATTGGCGGGGTTATTCATAACTTAGTAATGAACTGGTCACTCATGTCAGCACTGTTCACTTACTAAATAGATAGTACATTTCGCTAACCTTCATTTTACTACCTTCAGTTATTAAAAGACTGGTAATTTATGTGACGAGTCTACGATTAGTATTTAGTCAGTGAATATGCCGATGATTTTTTTTAAAGAGTGAAAGATGTAAACATATAGAAGTAAGAAAAAAGGTGAGTTTACTACGGAACGTTTCCGTACTACAACATACGTTTGTTGAAATAGCTCTTAAAATCTATAAAAGCCATTGGCTAAGGTTTGAGGCAGATGAAATAGAAAGTTAATAATTCTTATTCAAGCTATTGACCTAGGCGGCAGCAGTACGCTACGCTTTGCATAACATGCCTGACAAAAGACATGAATGCTATAAAGAGCTGGGACTAGCACGATGTCATTAAACATCTATTACTCATAAAATAAAGTATTGAAAATAAACTGTGATCGAAGAAAAACAGTTACAATGCGCTTGGTCAGAAACCTGCTTTGTGCGAGTCTATGCGTTGTCCAGAATTGCTGCTACATGCTTCCGCAGCGACTGCAGAAGTGGTACCTTGCGCTTGCTCCGAATTTGCCGTTCGCGCACCTCAAGCAAATGAGCGAGCTCACTGGACGGTACAAAACATGCTGTAAAAGTACACGCGTGTGCAGTGTGACCTTTCAAACGTCGGAAGCGGTCATCAGAGAACCCGTCGCTGAACTGTTTCCCACGCACGCCTCTGATCTCTAAACTTTTGACAGCGAATGTAGGTATGTCTACACAAAAAAAGCTGCCTAGTGTATCTATTTTGGTGTCCTATGTACTTTCCTAGTCCTAAAAAAAACATGTGCATGATCGTTACCCGCATGTACAGCACTGTCCACTCTTTGGGTGAACACGGCTCAGCAAGGCCTCGCTCCGGGCTGTGCCAGTGCACATGGCATGGCCACTCATATATAGATGCGTGGTGGTGAATTAACAAGGTACCCGCGGAAGATACCTTGCGTCGTCTGCTACAGCAGTGGAGCTCACCTTTTAATATAGTAGGCACCCCTGCATGACACTTCACTTTCTTTAGTGTAGTAAAACAAGAGCGGCAGGCTCGTGTGCGCCTGCTCTACTTTGATTCGATGCGTTGCCGGTCAAGATGCGAAAGTGATCTGCTGAGTGCATGAACACTGAGCCGTGTGCACTTTGAGAGCGGAAATAAATGTACGCTTTGTACAGCTTCTGATTTCTTGCCACAAATTATTTTGATAATAATTACGAAAAGTTATAAACTTACGGGTTGCCTCCCCTGGCTGCAGGGAGTGTTATCCGCAAAAACGGCTATCTTATATTCATGGCGCCAAACCCGTTGCGGCATGTAGCAACGACATTGGCATTCAAGTCTGCCTTCATTCTGCAGAAAAAGATAAAAAAATCTTTACTGGAGCGTAACGTTTTTTAATTTGATTTATTGATATGTGGGGTTTAACGTCCCAAAACCACCATATGACTATGAAAGACGCCGTAGTAGAGGGCTCCGAATGCTTTGATCACCTGGGGCTCTTTAACGTGCACCCAAATCTGAGCACGTGGGCCTACAACATTTCCGCCTCTATCGGAAATGCAGCAGCCGCTGCCGGGATTTCATCCCGCGACCTGCGTGTCAGCAGCCAAACACCTTAGCCACTAGGCCACCGCGGCGAGGCGACGTTTTTTTTTTTTTTTTTGAATGTGCGCAGGAGCAGTACACGCAAAAAAAGTGGACAGCTTCCACTTGTGGTGCACATCCAGATTAACAGCGGAAATTGTGGTTTAGATTATTGACACTGTTCTAATTAACAAGATGTTCACTTGCATCATGTAAATTGAAAAAAATGTAATTAGCCATACGCGGAATATAAGAGCCTATTAGCAATGTAAGATCTCTCCGTGTCTGTTCCTTCTTTTTCTCAATTTCTTCGTAGTTTCTTTTCAGTTCATGTGTTTAGAAAAAGTGGTTAACAGTTTTGAGTACTGGGATCTTTACTATGGGAGAGCAGAAAGCCGTCCCATGGGCCCCACTCTCGATAATGCTGTGTTGACAAAAATTATGCCATGAATGAGTTTCCAACGCTGATGTTTTCGTTACTGCGTACGTCACACGCATAGCAGCAGCATGGTGTTTAGAAATAATTCCCGATTCACAGTACTTGGTGCTCTACTATGGCCGGTCATTTCTATCATTATGTTTTTTATTCAACATTTGCAAGTACTTGCTAGTCTATTATGGCTAGGTAATTTCTGTGATTTTTTTTTCAGAGTTTGCAACCAATAGAGAAACTCCTGTATTGCATATCCGTTGGTTCAACGTCGATGAGCATGCTTAATATACGGCGACGTACTTTTCTTTGCTGCAAAACGTAACACAAATGTTCTCGATTTTCTAGTCTACTTCGACAAGAGGAAATAATCTTTATTTATAGTCACTCATAAGATAAAGGGGAGGATAGGGGATAGGAACAGAACGGGCCAACTATTTTACTACTTCGCATAGGCTAGACGCCACTTAGCGTCAAAGTGCTGCTCTTAGGCGCCCATTCCCGCAATGAGCAGCGTCTCCATCAGTAGCGTGACGAATATAATAAAAACATAGCCCTAGACATGTAAAAAATAGAAGAGGAATGAAACTGCCAATGGAAAGTGATATCAATGCGTGTCCTCCTCGCGGCAGGAAAGACTAGTACCACACAGCCACGCTGGTTCCTGAAACTAATTTCCATAAATACCCTGTACAGCAATCACGTCGAGAAAGTAAGCAAGGTGACCTGTCTAAAATAACGTGGCAGAGGAGTAGAATAACAGCTATTGCTCATGCAATGCTGGTTACGTAACAGACGTGTCATTTAATGTTTTCTACCCACTACAAATGGCTCGGCTAATACTATTTATTGTCATCAACCACATAAAGCGCAGCCAGAAGCGTACGATCCACATTATTATCTAAAAATTGCCCATATTACTTATACACACGTGAACGGGTACCTCGCTTCTCCGCAAAAGGGCATAGTAAATGCTGTCCTACCTCACAAAATTCAATTTTTATATTAGGCGAGGTCAATACTTTTCGCAGCAAGCCAATACTTCAAACACCGTTGGCCTTGCCCAACACGAGTAATGCGTGGGTTTCACGTCGCCAAAATGACCGCATGTGTATGAGAGACGGCGTAGTGAAGTGTTCCGGAAATTGCGACACCAACCTCTACCGTTTGGCCTCCGTCGAAATGCGCCTGCTTCTGCCGGCATTGAACACACAAACTTCGGGCCTGGTCAATGTTCCGCTGAGGCGGACGCCCCAACACGAAGCTGCGCTCAGAATTCACATCAAGGCCTAACCGCGCGTACTCGTCGCAGTGCGTCGGCGTGTTGCTATTTGACGCGGTGCCGGGCCCTCCACTTATGGAGAGAAAGGGTGTGCACCTTCGCGTAGCCGTGCACCCTCTCTCCCAAAGGAAGGCGGTGAGGCACTGCGTCAAAAAGCAATGCGCTCACGCGCTGAACGCGTACGAGTGGTCAGGCCTTTGATTGAGATGTGTGGTTTAACGTACCAAAAGCAGCATATGATCATGAGAGACACCGTAGTGGAGGGCTCCGAGAAGTTCGACCACCTGGGGTTCTTTAACGTGCACCCAAATCTGCGCACACGGGCCTACAGCATTTCCACCCCCACCATCGGAAATTCAGCCGCTGAAGCCGGGATTCAATCCCACGACCTGCGGGTCAGCAGCCGAGTGTACCTTAGCCACTAGATCACCGCGGCGGGGCCGGTCACCAGCATAATAATTGTCACTTAATTTTTTTCGGCTAACGCGAAACAAATCAACATAATGTTCGAACAACTCCGCTGTTAAGAAAGCTACAGTACGTAGCACTCACTGCAGAAAAACGCAACCTTGAATAAGAAAAAGTCAATGACACTAGTCATCCTTAGGGGAAAAAGGGCGAAAGCGATACATGGCCTCCTGTGATTCGGACGTGTGGCTTTCGTTCGTTCCCTTCATTTTTTTTTAACGCAGGGTATTTTATGACAAAGCTCACCTACGCTTTACTGATATCGTTTCTCTTATTGAAGGGCCATCGATGAAATTGCGCATGAACAGAAAACAAAGTAAATCTGACAATCAGAGAAACTAAGGTCCACATTCACGACCTTGGATCCGTGATGATTGGAGCCGAGCGTTTTACCCACCGTAACCTCGACACTCATGCATAAGTCTTTGAAAACGTGCCTTACATGTTTCACTTTCTTCATTTCACATTGTCCTTTCCTGGCGTGACGCGGTGTCACCGCCTTGCAGAAGTAAAGTGCCGAATCGTGACTCTAGTGATCGCTTTTCGAACGCGCTTTTGTAGTTTTATTGGTGTGGAGGCTGACCACCCAATTTCCCCAATATGTCCTCTCAAAACAGAAATGTTGAGTAAGTGCTCTATTACAGCGAGGGATGTTAGCGGGCAGTGTAATGCTTCCAAGACTTGACAGGTTGACATGCTAGCACTGCCTCTTTGGTCGCTGAAGCGTTGCGTGGTATTGTATACGCAAGAGCAGATGTATAGGGTATAGAAAATTGCTGAGGAGCACACACCCTTCCATTTGTTTCCTCGATTGACGACGCTTTCTGTGAACGACGCCGCTCTTCATGAGCGCGTATCAAGTATCCAGATACATTATATGCTTATAGATGCCGTCTTTGCCCTACATTCACCATATATTGTGCGTCTGTGTGCAAGTTAACTACTTCAGCTACCGTGATGTTTTCATGGAGATGATTGATGTAATTCGTCTGAATATAGATTGACCACCAGGCGTCAACGTCGGTACACTCTCATAGTCCACATAAACGGCCCGTGGGCGCCAAACACAAGCAAGCGTTATGAAAGTTTTTATCCGAGAATATACATGAGAGATTAAACTATTTCTGTGAAGAAATCTTTAACTATCGATTTATACTGACTACTACAGCAGAAAGATGAAGCATAACTTCTTTTTTCTTTTACTGAGCCTTCACAGAATGACGAGCTCATGAGCCACAAGAAATTCTTGGCCATTAAACTTCACGTTTTCATAAAATATGACATTTTATAACAAATTCAGAAAACGATTACGGCATTAAAAAAAACGAAAAGACAATGCACTCAGGCGCTGACTATCGAACACATAAACTACGAAAAGGCGGCGAATGCGGTGCTCCCACATAATATAGAACTATGTAGTTACCAACCTCATTCCTACAAAAGCTTCAGCAAGAAAATAATTGGGGGCCTAAGAGAAGCCAAAATTTTATAGTCGAGCATCACTATATTTCGTTGTCTTTCATCTCACATAGATGAAAGCAGAACTAAGGTTTTTCTCACCTCTATGATATACGTTTCTGGCACTTCAGGATAGGCGGCCCTGCAGATGTCTCTGACCAGTGTTCCAGGGAGTTCATCCGTGAAGTTTGTCTTCTTTATTGTACGTTTTGATCCCTTTTGCAGTAAACAACTTCCTGAGCCGTAGCTACGCAAAATAGATACGCCAGCAAAAAAAATTTGAAGAAGGAATAATGAAACGCGATCAACGATTGGAAGAGCGGGAAAAGTTTTAAAATAAAGAAAGATCTCAAAAAAGAACGGCTAAACAAATCAAACCAATAATATTCAGCAAGAATTAACTGTAATTACACGCTGAGACTACACTTCTTTATTTGGTAACGTGATATAATATAGTGGAGTCCTTGACACGATGGCCTCACGCGGTGAACGTTCATTTATAATTTACGGTACTAATGTTTGTTAGAGCAACTTTACGTTTCACTTGTGCGTAACTTGCATCCATGGCATTCTAATAAAAAAGCCATTGCTACAGCATAAATAGAACAAATAAATGACCAATCCATATCAAACTTATTTATTATTATTCTCATATGGCTAGATTCTCTGTTCCTATAAGAAGCGCATCGGATGGCCACCTCATTATCTAAGTGCAGGTGCGATGACAAAGGTTGAATATTTTCCCTCGAGAACTTCTTGTCGATATTACTGACACTTTTTTGTTTATCTTGTGACGTAATACAGAAATCATTGTGGTGTCAATAGTAGCAATGCTAGCTGCAAAGCCTCACCGGGGAACATCGTGCTTCGCGAATGACGCTGTATCCGAATTAGCACTATGCGGAGGAATTTCAAGCTTCATATTCATAATAAATCACATATCACAAACTCTTTTTTAATGTTTGGCGCACCCACTGAAGTTTGAGTTCAAATTTGTTTCAAAAACTCTCAACAAATACTGTGAAATGATGAAGGAATAAACTGCAAATCAATAAATCTTACACCAATCTTTCTTTCCTTATTATTTAGCGGTTTTCACCTAATATAGCTATACTTTCTTCAGAAGTGCAGTAAGGGCATGTTGGCATCGCTTCTTCAAAGAGTTTCTTTAACTCGAGCAAAAATAAATACTGAAAGATTTATCAAAAGGTCGTTGAAGAGAAAATAGTACTGGCGCCAGTGCTTAAAGAGTGAAGCTTAACTTTTCGTAGCCCGGCTGGGCTGAAAAAAAATTGACATTATTATAAACCAGAACACGATCCATTCCCCCCCCCCCTCCTGACCTGCTTTCACTTTCACTACACTTGGCATCGCTTTTATTTCTTTAGTTTTTTTTTATTTAGCTAAGACCATACCGTTGTAAATTGGTATGTGAACAGCGAACAGCATTTTTCATAATCATGAACTGGTACAGGCTCGTTTCACCCTCTTCAACTTCGGCTTTGCTTGTACAACACTGGCATATCTGTTCTTTTGTTTTCTTTTTTCCTTTTGTTACTACTAAGAGATCCGGGTTGTGCGAACAGGAAGTGTCACCAACAATGAAACGGTACGCACTAACTTCGTCCTTATCAAGTTCACTTTGTCCTGGTCACTTCGTACCTGTTAGAACAATGCACGGCCCTTCTTTTCTTTCCATTATACTTAGAGCGGAGCCCTTTAATCTTTTCGTTAAGCCGAGTACGATGAATACAGATTATCGTTATCATGAACTGGTCGTTTGTAATCTTCAACTTGTACTTTGCTTGTAAGCACGTGACGCGGCTGTGTCCTTTCATTCCTTTGCTATGAAGAGCGGAGCTCTTCAAACTCTTCTCTGCGTGGGTAGTGCGAAGAAGCATTAACACTATCCTCAAACAGTGGTACGCACTCTCTTTATCTTCTCCAACTTCTGCTTGGCTCCACAACCTCTGCGCGAACTTGCACATCGTGGAATACAAAAAGTATAATACGGAGGTCTGTCACGTGATTAATAAATAATGACTTGTCGCAGGACTGAAATCACGCAAAATCACGTAGGAACTAGCCACTCGACTAAAAGTGTTAAAAATGCTTATGCGGCCTGTAGTCATGCCAGACCACGTATTATCTGCTCACGTGTACAAAAAATTCGTAGCGTTAGTCGCGTGAATTCTTTAAGCAACACGATGTAATAGCCAATCACGATTGATGCTCCCGCCTTGAACCACGTAACAGCTGGTCGCGCGACTCAAATAAGATTGTTATGTAACAACATGTTGTTTGATATGTCTAGCCAAGTCTAGCCAACGCTCAACATCTCTAGTTAAACATTCGCATTAGTGGCAAACTCAGCAAGGGGGAACATTCGCTCTGCTGATGATTTCAACCTTGAGCCACTATAAAAGCTGCACAATTTCTCTTTGCTCGGTCAAAAATATCTCGCATTGACTTTTTCTCATAAAAATGTGCCATGTGTCAATTTGGCTTATCTTTTTAGTTTGCCATAACAAAGTTTCCAGAGATACAGCCAAGAAAAAAATTCTGCAAGCTATCTCACGCCTCCAATATCAAATACATGCAGCATGAACGTAGTACAAAGAAACAAACCATGTCTTTCGACACACAATAGGTTATTGTTGAATAGAACGAAAAATTGACACGTACTGCACAAACCGCATGATGTTTTCCTGGCAACAGGAAGAGAACTTCATACTGTTGCTGTTTTGAATTTTGTAGCTCATAATATAACCATAATCCCACGGACATTGTACAGATGAGTAGGCACCAGAGAACTGGCCATCATGAGGGCATCCGATCCTGACATGAAGCAAGAGAAGAGAAATATATATAACTAATTATCTTCGAATTGCTTGATATATATGGCGGAAAACTGCAAAACCTAAATCGTCATCTACGCAATCATTCGGTCATAGATGCAGCGCTAATCAGTGCGCGCATGATAAACAAAAAGTCATATAACTGGCAACGAACTGGAATGAGCGCTGATATCCCGTTGCCTAACATCTTCAAACAGCCGCCTTGATGTGTAACTGAGGTGTCGGTAATTTTACTGACTACAGTCGTAAGTCTGAAAGATATGCCTTGAAGGACCTGTCATGGGTATGGCTTCAAAAAGACCCTACTGATAGTTAGTTCTCTTTACTTTTCATTGCAAACACGTTGATTTAGGGTTAATGAGTCATGAGCCACACCAGTATTACTTATGTGGTGCACGGCCCAGCAATGTAGCAACACTTGCCTGTATTTTAAAAGCCCTGTTTTTCAAATAGAAATCCAGATAAGTATGTCGAACTTCTCAGGTTCTACACATAGTAATTCTCGTTGCAATTAGTCGTACCCTGAGTAGATCCTCACAGTTCTTTGAGAATGTAGAGAATGCACAAGAAAAGCAGAATCATGTGCCAAAAAACACAATCCATAAACCACTTTGAAAACAAAAGCAATATCAGTCGTTGACATGGAAATCACGCATGGACAGAATCACGCATCAGATATGGGTACTATACTGCAAGCAGGAACACTCAAGGACTCAATTTTAGGACATATATTGCCTGGACCTGTCGACGATAGCTTGAGTTTTTTTGCACAGAAGCCGTTTATAAGCACCAGCATAGGTAGAACAGTTAGTGCAGGAAGAATTGCAGGGAATGTGTAATTTAGTTGGTGCCGCTATAGCTACACATATCGTTAAACTATTCTCTTTCTCTAACTCTTTTCGCACTCATACCCCCTGTATTCAGAGAATAAAACATCGCTGGAATAGTGACATCATGAACACACGCACCAATATGTCTTCATGACTGGCCCGGACGTTAAGAGCAGTATTAAGGTTCCCCTAGTGTCAGTGTTGCACAAGGGAAGAATTTAAAAAGTGTCATATATCAAACCAAACGTAACCAAAGTGTCCATATAATTTTTATTATAACGAAATTGGCAGCCAGATAGAACAGGAGTGGTATCATGAACTGAGTGTTTACTACTAAAGTAACGCCATTCTGAATACCTAAAACCTAAAATTTAAAAGTAGCCAGTGAAATCCATAGCAAACAACTAGAATTTTTGTTGACAAATATGTAAAAAAGTTGGCAATTCGGCCCAGCGTACACCACCAATGGTAGCCCTGCCTACTATGTACACTGCTCAATTGTTGTTCTCCACCTGTACTGCTACGTGAAACGTAAAATAAAGTGATTAGCGTGAAAGAAACTAGACAGATGCCTCACAAGTGTGCAACTTCGTGAGCTGTTATTCGCACTCCGAAGAAAGTGTCAGCTCTGTCTTCACCAATTCCGACTTTACGGTTGCTGCATGCTCCACCCACATACGCGATTCCTGAAAAAAAAAGTAGAATATTAGGAATCGATAGCAATAATAATACGTTAATAAAATTGCAGTATTTAAGTAAGTGAGAAATGAAAATGATAGGTTTTGTTGACTGGTACTTTGGTAATGATTATCTCAAATTCATACCATTAGGTTTGCGACAATCAGTCATCACTTTTCTAGTTACTTATTATATAGGGCGTGACCCAAAGAATTGATTATTCATGACCCTCTATTCACGACCCAAGGAATTGATTTGGAACAAAAGAAAAATCAGCTAAACTGATAAACCAAGCACGGAAGTAAAGGAAGCAAACGAAGATGTTCCGTGGCATGATAACTCGAATCATTCAATAACGTTGCTGGAAAGCCACCAGCCTCGGAAGAAAGCGGAAAGGTTTCCGAGATATCAACGATTTGAAGACTGTCGATTGGGCAAACAACTGGGTACAGGATTTGGAACACGTAACCGTGTTTTACGAAAAGAGCTCTTTTTTTTTTTTAGCAAAAAAGATTACTTCTTCTTTCTTCACAGGTCTCCCTGCCGCTACGTAGCTATGTTAGGTCAAGCTGTGCTTGTTTTGTTAACCTTAGCCAGGTGAGTTTGGTTGATTTATATGTGGGGTTTAACGTCCCAAGACCACCATATGATTATGAGAGACGCTGTAGTGGAGAGCTCCGGAAATTTCGACCACCTGGGGTTCTTTAACGTGCACCCAAACCTGAGCACACGGGCCTACAACATTTCCGCCTCCATCGGAAATGCAGCCGCTGCAGCCGGGACTAGCCAGGTGAGTTTCGGACATTATTCTTATGTACAAGAGCAACATTAATAACCAATAGGGACCACTAATTTATTAACTTCTTATTGACTGATAACTGCGTTACGTGAAATGTTTTCCGGCTCTAACTTGACTGAATTTACTTTAATCCAAATAGCTTTTGCTGGTGGTACTTGATGACCTAAATAAATGCAAAAATCAAGTTCAGACTACCTCTAAGCTTGAAATGTTATTATCAATGAAAAAATACAGCTGCTTGAGGGCTAGGGCTTTTCAGTAACTCATGGAACACCGTCATCGCCTTTCGTCAGCTTAAAAAGCAGTCAAAGCTGTCTTGTGCTTTTTGAGGACTACAGGCCTTTAATTTTTGTGTAGTGCCACCGCTGCATACGCGCCAGCCGATTGACTGACAATCCTCTCTTTTTTTCTCTCTTTCTCTTATCTTTCCTCTCTCTCTCACATATTTATGCCCCCTTCCCATTCTCCCAGAGTAGGGTAGCAATCCGGGCATGTGCCTGGTTATCCTCCCTGCCTTTCCTCTTGTCGTTTATCCTCCCCCCCCCCCCCCCCCCATGGAAAGACTTGCATGTGGACTGATATCCGGAAGTATTCACCTTGCAACTCGACATCCCAGCGATATCCGTTGTACTGCGCCATGTTGAGCCTGCAGAAACATAGCATGTCTTAACTGCAAGTCCTGGAACCATCGCGAAGTCACGCTTCTTGCACTTTTTGGTGCAAGCATGGGCTCACCCAGTTATGAGATACACGGCATCATACCGCTGATATTTTGGTGGATTTCGCTCCACGTAATCTCTGAATGATTCCAGGGTCCGATAACTGGCAAGGAGCTCGTCAACACGGTATAAGAATCCTTCCGTGTGCGCCTGAGAACAACCATAGTGAATGAGCTCAACCTAGTCCAGCTTTATTCTTTGATCACCTCGCTTCCCGTGTGTGGGACGGAAAGGCATATATTGAAAATTACGTGAACTTACATCAAAAACTTCGATTGCTTGAAGCAGGATTCGTACTTTCATGCCTCGTACGGTCATGTATCTTACATTGACCTAAAAACAACACATAAATAACGCTATTGCATGAAAATGCTACACATAAATGTTAACAGTGATATACTTCAATGAACCTTTTAGAGACATTTACCAATTTAAAACATTCGAATCGAGTGGTTAGGTTTATCACCGAGCTAGTTTCTTACCGAATTCATACAAATGATTATGTATCTCATGAGCGTAAGAACACTTGTAAACTTGCTGTGAAAGGTGCTGTCCACGGCCACGAGGAGCTCTGCCCGAGCTTCAGAATCCGCGCCACCTTAGTGAACAAACAAGAAGAAAGTCAGATTATGGAAACCACATGTGAAATGCTGAAAAAAAAACCTACCAGCAGTGCCATCTCTTTCTGAAATGTTTGTTTCATTTGACAAATCCTTTCTCCAATGAACACCAACTGGAAAGAAAATATTTACTTGTTAAGATATCTATGGTATTGGAGATTTTTCACCATCCTCAACGAGAAGCCCCATGCATTATGAAAAAAGGCATTTTGAAATTTTTTTTTCATGCAGGGTAATACTGGCAGTAAAGAATTGTAGCACACCAGTGTGGTAGCTGCCAAGGTTTTTGCGGTAAAGATGGGGCTCTCAAATTTCTTCACTACCCTAGCACTTTCAGTCCTAAATTATAAAATTTTCTGGACCCACAAAGTACAATCGCCTATCGACGTCATTTCCTTTTTTGTACTGCTTGTTCCAGCATGGTATAAGCCGGAGCTATCAGAGTAGAAGCAGTAGGCAGTGAAAAAACATCATTGGTACTTATAAAATCTTTACTGCTTCCTAGAGAAGTATATCCCTAATGCGACGAGAAAAGAAAAGGAAGTACTTTGTTGTTAAAACACTCTTAACCTGTTATTAAGGAAGTAATGCGTGAAAACTATCCAGTTCTTGATGAATCCCCCAGCATGGGTGTGCGCCACATCATCAAGGATCCTTACTTGACTTGACTGAATCATCACGTATGGCGCAGAGCATCGATTATGGTCTTATCCACCATAATACAACTAAAGCGTCCTTTGTGCTGAAACTGCCTAAGCGTTCTCTGTTGGGACTTGTGTTTTAATGCATTACTCCACTTCACCTTTTATAAATGGCGACACCACCATGCTGAAGATTCTTGAAAAGTATAAGGCGCGCTTGCGACGCCTCGTGCATATGCATCGATGGCGCAGCAAGTAAGCACCGGGCACTCGTCATGGCAGACCAAGAAGTAGTGAGCTTAATTCACGCATATTATAAACACAGAAACTATTTTTTTATCATCTGTTCGTGTACATTTCACCGAGGTAACTTGTGTGACGAAAACGAAGCAAGTGCTGTCGAGGAGGAATGCCGAAAAGACACTTGTGGGAAGAATAGATAAGGAAATTTGAGATAAAAAAGACAGTCACCACGCAGGGGAATGTTCAGTAGGTATACGCATATGTGAGAAATGCTGCTAGAATACTTCAAGAATCGTAAATAAGACTAATCGTTGTCTATATCCATGTAACAGCAGTTTTCTAATAGAATGAATATGCGTTTTTGCTTACTATTCGCACTACTGTGATCTGCGTCATCAGTAATTTCATACAGTACATGAGCGGTTTTCTCTTGTACACTTCTTCCATTCATTAGAGGCTTTATTCGCAGATTTGGTCCCAGCACACCTTCCTGCAATATACAAAATGCACAATGTTACAATCCCCCCCCCCCCCCGCATGGTGAAGCTATACAAAAAACATCATACTCTACAAGAGTGCATTATCCAGAGAAATAAAAAAAGCATGAAATATAGTCTATACTGCTCCATGCACACGATTAACCTGTGTAAAATTGGTAAAATGGAACGTTGCCATACCACTTGAACACCGCTATCATCGGACACCATAACCGAAGCTGAATGATTGGTGTCATGGTAAAGGTCTTGTTCTAGTACTTCCCCGTCATGCTGTAAAAAAGAACAAAAAACCTGCGATATTTGATGAGCTCACGTATGGGTTGTTGTTATTCTTGTTCGCACGTAGCATTGCTATAAGGATAATTAGAAAAAAAGGCCTTTCTATAACAGCACTTTTTATGAACTGTGTGAGCTCCGCTTGGTTATACCATGCAAATTATGATAACGATAATGGCTAAGCAGAATGTGACAATAACTGTAAACGATTGTCTTCTTCATGGTGCATTGGAATTTATGTACTCGTTAGCTTTTGGAAGTGCAGCCACCATGGATGAGAACGCAAGCTGACAGCAAGTGCTCGTCATTGCATAATGGCGGAAAGCCTTCATGAGGGGAAAAACGCTGTTTCTTGACAGGCTAATCAAGCAAACCTATTAAGTCAGACCCCTCTTGGTTGTGGAGAGGTATCCTACAGAGAAAAAAAGAAGGGTTGGGGAGATTTGGGTGTGATCTTGCATATAATAACTTTAATTAAATACAGCTGCGAAAAACTGTTGCAGAACGAGCTCAACCATGTTGCAAGGTTTGTTAACATTATCTGCGGTGGTACATGGGCTCTCGTACACCCTACATGTGCTTGAATGGTTCCGAATCGTGATAGAACGCCTTCATTATATCAGGTGCTATGAATTTAATGCTTTTCGCCAGAGTTTCACTGTTGTTGGGCTCTAAGCGCTATACCGTAGTGTTGAATGCTGGCCCCCAAAATCTCAAGGCAATTTCAACGACGTTTATTTATACGGCACACATATGAGCAGTTTCACTTAGAATAAGTCGGGCTATCGCACGATAGATTGACGGTTTTTATGTGTAGTTTAACGTCCCAAAACTACGATAGAATTATGAGAGACGCCGTAGTGGAGGGCTCCTGAATTTTCGACCACCTGGGGTTCTTTGATGTGCTCCCAAGTCTGAGAACACGGGCCTACAACATTTTTGACTCCACCGAAAATGCAGCCACCGCAGCTGGGGTTCGAGCCCGCGACCTGCGGGTACCAGCCGAGTACCTCAGCCACTACACCACCAGGGCGGGGCAGCTGTCGTACAAGTTTCATGACTGGGCTGCGATTCTTGAGGTTGAGCTATTTTTTTTGCATGACGTAGTTCTAAAGCTGTCGCCAAGGACGCATTTAGCTCTTGTTATTTGAATATTTGAATACACTTACAATTTGCCTTCGGTAATGCCTGTAACCCCCATGCATGTTAATGTGACATTAAAATTGGCATGTTACTGAGCCCCAAAATTATTACTTCAAGTGGCCGATTTCAGAGTGATGTTCACGAAGTCATTAGTTTATTTGCGCTACCTTTCCTCTAGAAAGCTAATATTAGTAATCATAAAAGTGGTCGAAGGCTCATTTAAACAAAAATTGCTTATACCTTAAAATACCTATAGAGTTACACTACGAGACAATACAAAAAAATTTAAGGCGTGCAGCTCCGTAACTTCAGGTGACGAGATTGCGACATGCTCCCAGAAAACAGCATCATATCTGTGGCATTTGATGACGAAAAAGGGAGCGGCCGTCGTTTGGGTTGCCAAGGGAACTCGTCACTGGTAATACACACGTTCTGCGGCAGTCGCACATAGCGAGGATGCGGCACAAGCTTCACCACGTTCATTTCTTGGTCTATTGCCGTGAAATCCTTGCGAGATATCGCTAAGAATGACACAACAAGAAAAGAAAAACCGAAAAAAATATTTCTTGTCCGTTTATTAGAACGCCACTGTCTAAGTCTGCCAAAAAGCCCTCGTGGGTGGATTTGCCTAAGGCTGATCGATCATTCAGTCAATTTTCAAATGCGAAGTAGCTGTTTGACTGACCTATGTAAATATGTCCCGTACGTCCGTACATACCCCATCGGAGGGGTGCCAAGTAGGTGAAGTCGTAGCTGCGCGTTGACGTCAATCTCTCCCTCACCCGCAGCAGCTCCCAGTCCCTCCACCCGCTCGCAACAAACTTCCGTCTCCCTTCACAGTTTCCACCACCCACAACACTCAACCACACGTCGAGTGGGCACACTCTTTCAGCTCATTTATCTGTGATGAAACTTACACAAAACCCAAGCCACCTTATGCTTTTGTTTTTAAAACAAACGTTTACTCGAGTAAACGCTACGTCTAGTGTCACTTCAAACCGTTTTTCCAGCACCCGCGTCGACGCCTGTTTCAACCGAGTGATTTCCGTACGCACCGCTGCTGTTTTGCGTCTCTTCAGGGTTACCTTCAAAGAGACTTTATAAAGATGAACTCACCCGTGCGCCCGCTGATCCGCGTTCTAACGGTACGTTTGATTCAAAAAATATTTCATGCTTTCTAGACCACAGATACTATTTACTTCGGCAAATCGCGAAATACCAGCAAATCTAAAAACACATTCCCGCCAATAAGGCTGCCGTGAAAGCTATCCTTCAGCTTAACAATAGCACTTTTTTTCTGAGATACTTTGTACTGGCGTGTACTCCACAACAATAGGGAGACCGTTTTTTCGTCCTAGAAAAATTTCATCTGTAGGTAGATAGTTTCTTCGCGAAATATGAAGTAATAATGAAAGATCTTGCAGAAGATGAATTTGTTATATTTATATGAAATATACAGCTTCAAGGCAAAATTCACTTGAAGAGCAATAATGATTTTTATTTTTCATTTAGAACAATTTTTTTTTCATCTCCAATGTTTGATCATTAGCACAAGAGTATCACAAAATGAAGGAAATTGCGAAAGAATTATGAATAATCTGCTTGTTTCACTCACGTAAGTGTGCTTCATAATTTTATCCTCGTAAGTCCGCAGTAAAAAGTTCTTGCTCAGAATAGAACTCTTCTCGAGATTTAGGGTGAGATCTTCGGTGATTTTTAGCACTTTGGCGTTATTAGCACTCCGTGTTTCTAGCACTTCTGGAAAGACGATGTGTTGGCCCCCAGTAACTGAAAACAAGCATTGTAATAAGTAAAAAGGCGTGCGTGCTGTATCAGAATATACAGTAGGAAGGATCGTATTAGGATATTTTCATTATCGACGTTTTTTTTTCAGTTACCTCCAAGAAAATACTTTCGATGTATAACTTCAGCGCTATTAATTCATCAATGTGCGGAGGGTACTGTGATATGCAGTACAAGCAGGCCAGGCAACCCCAAGAGCCATTGTTTACGAGCTAAAAGCGTATCATACAGTTGCCATCATCACTAGATTTATTTAAGAAATGCTCACTAGATGGTGCGCCGCCGCTCAAGGCGTTCTCTCCGGTGATTCTAACAGTGCTCACTAGAAGTCGCGGGCTTTCCAACGATCCGAGGAATTCTCATTAGATGGAGCGAGGTGGCGCACACTAATGCCAGGACGTGCGCTTCTTTTCTCTTCGCCAGCATCTCACGCACTTAACGCTCTGTTACCTCTCGGCCGCATCAACATCTCACAAGCCAAGGCTGCAAAGCGGGGGGCTCGCAACGCAGCGACAGCTTGGGCTCGCTTCCAACACATCTCAGTGACCGCGCAGGAGGCTGAAGTGAAGAAGGTTCGCTATCATACCTCTTGTGTATATGTAATGTGTATAGTTTTGAACATTCTATTTATTGCATTCAAACATAAATTATAAACATTGTGAATGTGTATACAATAACGTTGCCACGTCCATATATGATCGTAAAAGATGTGTACGTTGAATAAGCGGGTTATTCAATCTACTTCAGGCAAAATCCTCACACATCATTCACTTTGTGGACATGGCAGTGATGTTTTAGGTGCCTAAGATATTAAAAAAATTACCCCCTAGTCATCTCGTGCTTCGCTTTCGCGTCAGATTTACTACACATGAGTTGACCAGACTGCACGTTTTGAACGTGAGTGCTTGCTAGCCAGAGAACGCCATTCTCTTCGAAAATATAATTCGACTGTACAAAGCGGAGAAGCTACAGCGAATTTCTAGCGCTGAGAGTTCAATGTATCACGCTGAAACAAACAGTCGAAAAACGGTATAACCAAAAACAGAAAAACGAAGTGTTTATTTGCAAAGAAAATTAAATAATCAAAACACAAGCACCATGAAGAGCATAAAAGAACAAACAAGAAGAGGTACTAACAAAATGAAGACAAAGAAAACGAAGGTGAATCAATGCTCTGCAGTTCGCCCAGATTTTACTACGGGTGTAAGTGACGCACTTGTTGTTTATACTAGCTTCTCCGCACCAACATATATGAGATTCCCTGCGCAGAACGAATAACATTTTATGCGTACTTACGTTTTGCGCATTCCAGCGGATGAAATTGTATGAACAAACATACTAATATTTGGCTAACAATCATCATATTTTGGTTGTACGAAAAGAAAACAAACCTCCTGGCTGCAAGCGACGGCGTTACACGAATCTAGCGTATTGACATAAAAGCAAATGATCATTTCATTGAATAGGTTAGATGAATACGTTCTAATGGCACGTAAATGTTATCGACGAGACGCTAGTTGACCCTGCCATTCAAGCATGGTTGACTCGAGCTTTCTTTTTGTAACCTAAAATCACAACATAAGTGTCGAGGCGCGACCTATTGTTTAAAGCATTGAAGTGTGCCCACGCGCCAAATGTGGTGACGCTATCACCTGTGGAGGGCACATCACAGGCAGTGAAGCATGAAACAGATTATATGAGCTTTAACACAAGCATTATTCAGAGTATTGGTAAAAACTTATTACCTCGTATGTGCATCTATTAGTCCATCGTTTAGTTTATAGTGTCACACGCATGAAAAAGTTCATGTTTTCTGTGTTTTTCACCTTGTTTGGTTAAACTAGCGTTCCACACCGCTTAGAAGATATTGAGTTTCAAACTTATGGTAAGCAGCACCATAATGGCTCCAACTGCACCGTATGCTCTCTAGTAAGTTAATTCGTCATGAGCTGGTGTGTCCCAAGTCAATCTAAAGCTATCATCGGAGGCATAATTCTGTACCCTTGTACTGTTGATATAAATGAAGTCATCCAATATATAACAAAACAAACCACGGTACTTAGCTTTCAGGGCATTGCCGCATCACATTTGAACATGTGGCTGTTACGTCCAGTCCTGCCAGCCATATTTTGATGGGAACGCCGCAAGAATCATTGGCTTGCCTGTACTTAGGCGCACCACGCATGACTATGACCTTTCACAATTAATTAAAAGCAGCAACGTGGTACTCATCATCATATCGGTCATGATTACGGTGCGCAAAAAAAAATGCTTAAACAGTGAAAGCATCGCCTTACTCAATAATAGCTGCCTCTGAGATTAGGAGTAGGCTGGTGCACGTTTGTTTCGGGCGAAAAAGTTTGTGCAGTAACTATGCGACGTAGTAGATTATATCAAAGCCACGATTGTCACTTTTGACTCTTTGCAAATGTAGAGCTTCAAGTAAATAAGCATATTTGTACAGGGAGATTTCAGTGATGGTGAAATGATAAGTTTTGGTGAGCTGTGGTTTACGCAAAGCGCTGACGCTTAACAGAGCGGACTTGGTTTTAAAGCTACACGGTCCACCTTTGTTATTATTATATTTACAAGTGCCTTACAGGCTCCTCGGGGAGCATCGAGTAAGGAAAGCATCAGAAAAAGAAATGAAAAAGAATGCGATACATGAATCTGAAAAGTGCAACAGTAACGTACTTCCAAAACGGTGAAGCGAATCGAATTACAGGTCAAAATAATACTGAGAATAACACCAAATACTTACTAACAGCACAATAATATGAAAACATTACCAAGGAAAAGTAAAAATCAGCCACGAACTAATAACTAACAGAGTAACACTAAGAATACAATATTCAGAAAGTAATAAAAAAAACAATACACATTTTTTCAAAAAGCGCGGCACAGGTTGTGTAAAAAATGTATATCACTTGGGCACTCATAGAAATAAGAAAACAAAGTAGAAAAGAATTAATAACATGGAGCTTCGCACATACTTCGCACAACGAAAAAAAAATTACATGACGCTATGCGGTTTTATGTATAATGCACGACGTAAATGCACATTGTGTGGTATAGAAATGAAATCAGTACTATAAATTGGTACAGCTCACTCTACTCGTTCCCCCAAACAGCACCTAATACGTGTATAATAACATTGTGCTCCATGCTTTAAAAGCTTTACTTTGCACAAAAATTGCAAAACCAAAGCGCACTCATAAACGATGAAACATGCATCACATTTGCAAAACTCCATGACACACATCCAAAAAATTCGAAGCAGGAAGCATAAGAGCTGCTCAAAAAGTACAGAAATCTTCTACACCAAAACACATTGTAGCCAAAGTTAGTGTTTTTTTAAAAATAGGGAGAAATTTATCCTGCTAAATATAGACCAATATCGATTTTGCCAATATTTCCTAAGCATGTACAAACGTTGTGTCACTCAAGAAAAGCTTTTTGGACAAACATTCACCTGATACTTAATCCCAGTACGGTTATTTATTCGGGTTGTCCTCAGAAAAGCATTTATTGAACCGTAAAAAATTGCTCTCACACAACACCGGAAGCAAACTACAAAGACCAGGTGTTTTGATGGAGTTTTTAAAAGCCTTCGATCATATTATACTTCTTACAATCTTAAAATACAAAATTATTACGGAATTCGAGATTTGGTTGGGGTTTTTCAAGAAGCTACTTATTCAGAAGGTAGAAACTAACTTGCATTGACCGAGAGTGATCAATACTTAGTGAAAATACATGGTACGTTCCCCGAAGCACTATCCGGGGACCACTTTTCGTTATTTTTATAAATGATGTTGTAAACATAGCAACTATTGCCAAATAAATAATGTATTAAGAGATCACCAGCACTCTTGGGGCAGGAACAGATTTTCTTGACATAGGAGAGCAAGAAAGTCCAATACTGCGTAAACATTATACCATGGCCTTAAACATACACAACTCTCAGTGCTATTACCATGGTCTTTCAAAACTCATAATTATTTAACACTCCTAAAACAAGGTCTGTGTTATTCCACCCAAAGTCCGCACCACGTAAGCTTGGAGCCCTTTTACACCTAAATCCCTTTTTAAATGTCTGCAGCAGCTGAGTCATTTGGAGTAAATTTCACCGAATGTTCACTTTCAGACTAGCTGTGGCAAATATTTTGAAATATTTCAGGTATGTTAAGGAAGGTAATTATTTTCTTTAGGTTCACTAGAACCATGCAGCATACGTTACCTTCGTTGTGATCTGCTGGAAGTAAATTGTTATAAGAAAGTCCTGTAAAAGAGTATAATAATTCAGAAACATGCTTTATGAGCGACTGCAAAGCAACCATATGGACCACACGCATTCCTGTGGCTTATACATTTTAAACTTATAAAGTTACGCATAAAGCTGAAACGCCTATAGAAAAACTATTCACCTGAAAAGACTTTAAAACGTGTAGTAGAACCTTTCTTTACCTTCTTTGACGCACAGTGAACTGCTACATGTACGACAATTACCAACAAGCAGTGATTTTCAGATGATGCGTGCAATATTCTCCGGGTGTTGAAAGAACTGCTCCTGATGATAGAGAACATGAATGTACGTTATAGCAACACGTGTTTTTTTGCGTAGTGCTTGGAATTATCTGTTGTTTGACTGTATTGTTCTGATATAATTTTCTGTGGTGTACATATTACATGCACTTCCATATAATAAGTACCCTTAAACAGATATTACTGCTGTTGTGTCTTCGCTCACGTTTGCTTCAGACTTGCGAAAGTGCCCACCATTGCTTAACAATCTTGCTTTAGAACTCATAGTCCATGTGGAGATGTTTTGATTGATTTTGCTATCATATACGCTTCCGAGAAGTAAAAAGACGGGTCAGTCAAGCTACATGCATGTAGCTTTTTTTTCAACATCTTAACCACATATAACATGTATTTATTGTAGTTCGTCTGGAAGAACAGACCCACTTCCACTTCAGCTCGTGAGAGACGTCTCCGTTACTAGTATGGCCAGCCGAGGGGAAGGATAGGTATCAGAGGTTCCAATCAAGTAAATTTTTCAATTTTATCTTTGCCCGTACACGCACAAGAGGAAACTAACACACTCACATAAAACAATAGTAGTTCCCTCCCACCACAACTGGCGTTTTCTGGCCATTTTGTTGGACTACAATTCAACAAATTATTGGCATCGTACCACACTAGAAATTCTACGAAGCAGCTCAAAAGGTGTGCGAATTTTCTAAAATGAATTGATGGATACTTATGCATGTTTTACTTCATATACTTTGATATTAAGGATAACCCGAAAACTAAGTGTGGCGTGTCTTGTGCATTTAAACAAACTTGTGCGCATTATTTTGAACTGAACTTGCGGAGGTGGCGAAAAGTTCTTACCCTGTAGCCTCAAGTACAATGTTTTAAATTACCCCTATAAAAATAAATAATCAGTCTTGTACTTATAAGCCACAATCGGGGTCCTACACATTCCCTGCGCAGTGCATAATAACACACACTAGTGGATCGCAAAATGAGGTTTTAAACACTCGCAGAATATGTGCCAGCTCTGCGTCTGAAGCAGCTGCACTTAACAATGTCAGACTGGGTTTCAGGGGATCACTGCTAAAACGGGCGTATTCTAAGTGATGCCTTTAAATCTTAGAGATTTTTGGAGTAGCAACACAGTTCCCGATAAGCTTTACGAGTCCGACAGTGCTACTTTTCTATAACTTAAGGTTGATTAGTGAATGTTAAAACATGATGCGAATTGCACATTAATACAGGCACACATCCATGTACTAGCCATTTTTTCATCTCTGGCGAATACACTAATGAACGTGTGAGCTCTTACTACTCGTAATCAATTGTGTTACTGTTGGTGTTTCGGTAAGTCATCAGCATTTGTAACTCCATCTTCCCCGTATTACGAAAGAGAGTTTACGCCCACGAATTCAGTTTGATTTATCACTTAGGTGGTGTGCGTGACGCTGCTACTTCGTGACCGGGCACCTGATGACTTTTTCAGACGACGTGCTACAAAAGTGCAGTTGCTGATCGATCTGTATCTAAGATGGCTGTGATAACCGTCCTGCAAGGTGACCTTTTATTTCTCGGCCAGGCTATGCTGAAGTGCTGTCACTGTAATCTATCATACTAGACATAAAAAATATTTCTTCTGCCCTGTGTTCCGCTGGCCAGCAGCATAGGAAACTGAAGGTCATCTGCCTTAAGCACTTTTGTGACTTTTTTTTAGTGCTGCTGCTGAATGTCTGTAAGTGACGACAACCGAGACAATTTGGAGCCAGTCAACTGTGTATGTCACGCTCGGCGTAAGATATACCATACCACAAACTGTAAAACTGAGGGCAGTAGTTTTCGCAGACGT